TTTTACAACAGCTCATTTAAAAGCTGAAATGCTAAGGGCAGTTGGGCTGCAGAGATCTTGATAAAACAGGAGTTGTTTTTAGTAAGCAGACAATGCTATAAGTACTAGTAAACCGAATTAATACCAATATCGTCTTAATACTGTAAATAATTACTCCAAAGCAAGCTTTTACCTTTATTGCATTTAGTACAGTTGTACTATTTATTTATTTATTTATTCTATTTGTACTCCGCCTATCTGGTCAATACTACACAATTTCCAACAGATTTTTTAAGTTTTTTAGTAAATATCTTCATTAGATGAACTAAAATGCTAAAGACTTTGTCTCTTAAAGGCTTTCATAATGGTTAAAAGTTCTATTTCAGTCCATATACAACAGTAAGGTTATCAAAGTGCATTATGAGGAACTTTAAACAAAGAAAGCAGGGCACCAAACTGTTGAACATCTCACCAACTTTTTAAAGTTATCTGAAAATCAAGTTTTGTGTACCTTACTGGTTCAACTAAGATTGAGGAGGAGCAAGAACGCTATCAATTTACATAGCAATGGTCTCAAGGCAGAGTCAAGTGAAAGTGAATGTAGAATTGAAATACTGTACAACTGAGAATTATATGTTTTAATACATACGATTCTTAAAAATGATCCCTATAATCTATGACATTACAAGTACACAAATACATATGCCAGCAAGCATCAGTTTAACTGCAAAATGTCGACATCATGTGGGCGTGAATATATTGCCAATACAGAGAAGTTTCTAACACTATATCTATAAATCTGCAAATTTCTCAGCATGCTGTGATGATTCAGGGTAGGGGGGATTTCATATAGTTTTCAGTTTATTCTTGGGAAAAACCAGCTCCTCAATCCTCCTAGCCCTCACCCAGCAATAACCCCCTCCTCCTCCTCCCTCTTTTTCTTCTGCCAGACAGGACACAGTCTGGCGATTCAGGGGCTCAAACAGGCCAGACTTCCTTCCGTGCAGCCCTTTGGGTAGAACTGCTAATCCATCTTATTAATTAGCAAGATAATGGTTGTTCGCTGGAAGGCAATATTAATGCTAACTATCTGAAAACATCAACAGAAATGACTCAAGCCTTTTCACCAATCCCTGGTAGCCAACCTGAGTGCTTAAACACAATTACATGTTAACATTTTAAAAATCTGAGAATTCAAGTGTAAAAGAACCACAGCTGAGCTGGCAGAACTATACCTATCTACTGAAAAAATAATGCATTTCTAGTGAACTCTTGGTTTATAAAGGGCTGCAACAGCTCAGCTGCCTACCATTTTACTTTTAAATTATGTTCTAAAATAGTAATGACACATAAATGTTAAATGCTATTATTATTGTTGTTGTTCTTCTTCTTCTTGCTATACTTGTAGCTATTCCTCGATGTGCAGTATGTAAAAGAAAATATACCACATTTGAAATTCAAAGGAATAGCAGATAACACAAGAATTAAGTTCTGTAGCAAAGAAATGTACACAAAAATGGCATACTTCAATTTAAAAAGCAGTGAAACTTAAAAAATCTGCTACTGAATAACTAAAAAAGTTATCTATTAAAAGAAGGATTTCTATTATCTAAAGTTCTACTGCGGCAAACAAATACAACAGCTTTCTTTCAGTGATTATCAAAAAACTTTCCAATGTGCCCACTGCAATGCAGATGCCAACCAACGAATCAAAGGCATTCAGCAACTAGACAAAGGAGGTTTGATGCCAACCTCGGTGCCACTGGCAACCATTATTGGCATCAAGCACATTGTCTGCTTTTCCTCCCCCACTCTGCTGGCACTTGACAAACAAAATGGCGGTTCTTGTTGAAACGGAACACAGCACAAGAGCTGCACTGATTGAATCAATTACTCCAAACAATTTTATGGACTGAAGCACGGCTTGTATCAAATAACAGAAACTAGCAAAAAATAAAAATGAAAAAAAACCAAACCTATTCTTGCCTAACAAGATACAGTGATCATTATATTTTATTTTAAGATAAAGCCAACAGACTCCAAAACGAGAAGGAAATAAATTTTAAAATGTATTTATTCAGTGCTTTTATGTTTTAAACACCTGTGGACCATGACTTCAGTCTCTCCCAGAGAAGGGATGGGAATCACATCAAGTAACATATTATACAGTATCTCTGTTCTGTAATCTAAGATGATGCCTACAACAAAGCAAAAATAAAAAGACAGCAAAGGGGAAACAGGCAGTATTTGGAGGGAAATGTGAGAGAAGAAAAGACAGACAAAGCTAGCCAATGATGAAACATGAAGGACTGGTCTCTGTTTCGTCTTTCAATACAATTGCGGAAACACATAGGAAAATCTTCTTCATGAAATTGCAAAAAGGACTGACATTTCTAGATCAGGAAATTCTCAATATATTGTAACATTGCTCCGCTCTGCAATGCGGATGCCAACCAACAAATCACAGACATCCTAGGCTAAACAAAGACGGTCCAATGCCAATCCTGGTGCCACTGGCAACCATTACTGGCACTCCAACTATTCCTCCTGATGCTTTTTGCCAATGCTTAAACATACATCCCACTTTATCCTTTCATTCAAGAACTTTGTCTTTTCTACTGCACTCCCACATGTAAATTGTTACTAAGCTTTATTAATAAGACACTACCAAATAAATGTTCATATTCTGAAACAGGAAACCAACCCTCTATAAAAAGACATTCTGGTTGACATTTGGCTTATACCTTTTGCAAACCCAGCAACCCTTGATACCATGCCTGGCAAAACATAACAATGAGATTGCAAGTTGACTATTCTGAGGACAGGTAAAAACTCACATTTTTTTAATGAAGGAAAATAAACCTAGTACATTTTAGCAGATTCCTAGAAAAGCTGTTAATGGAGTACAAAGTGGATTCACATGCAACAAACAGAAAGTTATTTCACAAATACAGGATGCAAAGAGATGCAATAACATCACATTTAGTGTTATTTTTTGTCAAAAACAACAAAAATACTATACACTTAAAACAATGATATATAATGTTTTGCATAATTCAGGCCTGTTTTTAAAAACTGACATCATATGTTGCATCCAATTAGCATCACCAAAAATGACTTTCTCACACCAAATCTCCCTCAACACGAGCTGCGTACCAGTCAACTTCACAGTCCAGGAGCAAAACACAAATATGTGCAAAAACATTTAATTTAACCTGAAAATGATTCTGATGGGCATAATACACTACATAATTCTAGTCTGTAACTGACTTTCTGATGGCTGTACTATGCAGACAAATGGAATGTTCCAGACTCAATCCACTAGTGGTGTTTGAAGTGTGAAAAACACCGGTTTTTTGTCTTTCTGAACACATTATGGTGTGAACAAAATGTATATGCAACACAATCAGTTTGGAATCTTCATAGCTGTTGTAGTTTTTCCAAAATTAATTTGCAGAGTATCCCTATAGACATTAAGTATAAAAGAAAGCTTCACAAATCTAATCAGAAGTTCAACTGAGTTCAACAGGATTCACTCTCTGATAAATGTGTGTAAGACTGGGCTGAAATTGTATGTTTGATTTAAGATAAATCCTATGGGCCTTGCAGCATATCATCTATTTAGAATTAAGTTTCACTTAATTCAACTGGCCTCCTTCCTAATAAAGGGGGTATTGGATTACAACCTCACACTATAGTATTTGCAAAATTGCACCTTTACATTACTTTTACGAGAACTTTCAGATGAAAATCTGCATAAAATAAACTAGGCAACAATCCAAAACAATTTGTGCTTAAACCCAACTGGAAACTCTGCAACTTCAATCCTCATTATTTCAGTGGAATGTAAACGGAATGAACTTGCTCTGAACTGGAGTTATCCTAAGCTATGTCATTATTCTCCATTAATGAAAATGAGAAAGAGGAAGGCTTTTGCTACAGATACACAGACACTGTGTATATACAATATACATCAGATAGACAGACGGATAGGTTCAACAATACCTACTTACCATGTTTCATTTCAAAATGATTGCATAAACAGTTAAGTATTAGCATGACATAACTGAAGAGACTCCTACAATACAAGCACCATGGAAACTAAATAATGATTTACATTCTAAATGCAAATCAGCAGTCAATAAAATAATTTAGGTTTAATTTCATATACAATTCAATTACTTTTCATACAAGATGGCTTTATTTTACATTTGGACCAGAAAATATGCATCCCATCCACCTTGCTTTAGGACACTAGGCCAATTCATGAAAAGCCACTGTCAGCAAACATTACATGATTTACATTTACTCTTAACATAGATGTGACTTTAGATAGGACTACTTTCGCAACTTCATATGTTTCTACCTAAAGATGAACAGAAGGGAAAAAAAAACTAAATGAAAAATTATTTCTCTGAGAATTTATACAATTCTGACAGAAATTACAGAAGTGGGTTTTTGACTGCATATGTTTTTTTTAAAATAACTTCATCCTTCCACATTTAACAAATCTTTTCAAAAATGTATTCATGTTTAAAAGGAATTTTTTTATTTGGTACAAACACTGGGTGATGTTCATACAAGATGTTCATATTTTCTGCATATTAATATTTAAATGATTTTTAGGCCGTCCTCTGTCCTAGCATCTTTATACAGTAAACAAACCTTCATGCTAAAGGCTAACAGAAAACAGATACAGCTGGCAATGATTTCAATTAAGTGAATGTGAGTATTATTTAAATACACTGATACCGATTGTATACACTTGCTGCTACTAGCGATGCTGAAAATAAGTGTACTTACATTTAAAACTTTTGCTCTGCAATGCAGAAAAAATGTCTTAAGTATTTTGAACTTTCTTTACCAGCACAACTTAACATGGATTCTCAAATGTACAATATATAATGCAATATACACAGATGAACCTACAGTGTTTATTAACTGCTACATTGCAAGATCTTCTTTAAAGGATAGATGTAAAAGTTCAATATACTGTACTCATATACAAAAAAACAACTTACCTTGATCCTGCACATAATATGCCAGAAACAAATCAAGCTCCTTGACCGATACTGTTATGTGATGTGGCTGAACGCAAAGTGCTGGATTTGTGCAATGAGGAGATTTCATGAGGCGTTCTCCATCTGTACTTTCCAAAGGAATACCTTTGAAGAGGATCACCATGACTAGATCCAGACGCCAGACTTTGTCCGCCTGTCGCAGGCAGTCGATTCTCCTAATCTTACCCTTCTGGTCAGGATTGGACAATACACAGCATGGGTGCTTCTTCCCAGTTACAGTGAGCACAAAATCCTCTCGATACTCTTGGCGGATATCTTTGCGCAGCTTGGCAAGAAGCCTGGATGCCCACTTCTGTTTAATTTCTGGCTTTTCGCTAAGTAGCTCATCCTTGACTGCTCTTTCCTCATCTTTTGACATTCGCTTTTCATGTTTTTTAAAATATTTGCGTTTTCGAGCCTGAAGGTTGAACCAAGTGTAGGCGATTGCACGGACATGTGGAAGAAGTGCCTCAATGAACGGGTGAAATTCATCCTATTGGAAAAAGCAGGGGAAAAGAATTTTTTAAAAAAACCCTGAAATATGACTTCTATTTGCAGAATCAAGACAATAGCAGTACAGTATAATAAAGAAAATATTGGCTTACTAGGGTGGGTCTTATTAACCATTACTCATTTAATTTAATTGCATTTAAAAAAATCCCAGAAAAGGTACATGAGGGGCCTAAAGAAAGCTCTCTATTGTCATTTTTGAAAGATGCATAAAGTTTTAATTTAGTTCACATTCCCCTTCTACCATAGTATCCAACTAGTATACAACTATATCAGTTTTGACTTAAGCAACAGAAAGCTCCTAATTTTAAAAAAATCTATTAGTTCACTGAACAGTACCATTTATACAAAGGATGGCACTGTGATTTTTAAAGCAGTTGAGAAGAAAATACGACAACAATTGTTTTTAATGCTGTGAAGGCAGCAGTGAATTATAAAATTCAATTCTCTTCTCAGTGATACAGAAATACTAAATACATGTTACATGCAATGCTATATGGTTCCCGCTTGTGCAGGTCACTCTCAGCAAGACACTGGAGGCAACACAAAGAGCATGCGCTCCTAAACAAGATCCATTCTCTCATCATTTCCAATGATGAAAGAGTATCATTTCAGTGGTGATAACCACAGTAATGATGACAGTATAAGAAGCAAAAGAATAGGCGTATATTTCAAAACTCCAACAAAACTTTTAAAATTTTTGTGTGCCAGATATTTCTCCCAATAATCAACATTCCTCATCTAACTTTGCAAAAATGTTATCAAATTAATACCAGGCATTACTTGAATGTTTCCTCAGCAGCTTTCTTCCAAACCCTTCAATAAGTGGTTCAAAGACCAAGAGTTAGCTCAGTTTACTAACAAATCATGAGTTATGTGGCAATTGTTCAAAAACCCATTAAAAATCTGAAGTATACAGTAAAGAAAGACAACCTGGCACAAATCTCACATTCCTTGCCACTTCAGCACCCTATGCGGGGTGATATTAACACTGTATCACTGGAATCATGTTATCAGAAATGCATGCAATACTTTTATATTTTCAAACAGCTCTTCCTATGATGGGCTCTACACAAAGTTTCATACAAATTAATCTAATTTTAGTGTTTACTGAAATTTGGGAATGCAACATACATTTTGGCTGAAGACATCAACAACTACATTACCCTGTGGAGTAGGAGTTGCTTAACCAATGATTATATCTTACAGATATGCTCAAATTTCTGTAAGGCATTTGTCACATTATGTGCTTCTTCTGTAAATGATATAGTCTAAATGTGAATAGCAACTCTGATCATAGTGTGATTCCGAGAGACAACAGGGCAGAAAGAAGTGCTCCCCACGCACCTGTGTAAGTGATACTAAACTTATATTTACATCCTTAAACTGTATTAAATACTTATTCACTTCACCAAATAATGAGCATTCAAATTAAATCTTGGTATCAATTAATAAGGAATATATTATTAAAACCAAAATTATGACATATGTTGCATTTTTCTCAAATCAACAAAATAGTGACATCAATATTAAAACACACATATTTTAAAATAGTTCATGTAAGCTGATTTGAAGCCAAAGGGATAGTATTAAACAAGTAAACAAACAAACAAACAATTGCAATGTTGGCTATTTGGTGTCACATATAGTAGGAAGACATAATTTCTTAAGTTAAACAATACTTTTTCAAATTAATGCAAATTTATTGCAAATGTAGTTTTATCTATCTAAATCTTCCCTTTCACAATCAGAAAAATGAACCAAAACAGATTAGTAACACTGCATTAAAAACAATTATGAAACAAAATTGACCCCAGTGCCAAATAATCGTTAATTAATTGTGACTAGCATGTTTAATGTGACTAACAGAGATCTGAAGATTTCTGCCACTACGAAGGCCCATACACTGGAAACTAGACCACAGAAAGAGTTAAACCACAATCTGTTCTTTGTGTGGGCAGGCAACACCGCTCACAGCAACCACAGCCCAGGACAAGACTTCCCTATTTCAATGCACTGGGGTGCCAGTTTTTTTTCTTTACCGCTACCCTTTTCATCATAACTGACCTCTATGACACCCTTATTCATTTTTTTAAAAAAAACCAACCTTTCCTAGTACATATAAAAGGAAGGCGGCAAAGCAGGCAAGTTTGAAAGAAACTATGAAATGCATGGTGTTGGACTGTAGTGAGGGATTCATATCTAGAAGAGTATAAAATTTCTTTCTAACCATAATGAAACTTTATATTGCTGCTACTAAAATACTACTATGTTGATAGGAATTAATCAAGGTTCTAGTATTTTGGAATTTATCAATAAATTTATAGCCACCCAAATTACAGTGTTAATATTGTAGAGATGTTCTATGCATCTTCATTTAGAAATAGGTTACACCAAATTCAATGTGCCTTACTCCCTTGCAGGAGTATCATGACTAGTGCACAACTACAGAAGTTACTTGTATATGTAGACTACATAATAGCAACAAGAACTTGTTACGTGTACATGCTCTGAAAACACATCGTGAAGATGGAACTAGTAACAGGAAATATTTAACACAGAACACATACTGTACTTCAGAATTCAAAAATGTGATACATTAAACCAAAAAAGAATCAGATTTGCCATAATGTATTATAGAATGGTTTTTAATATACACTTAGAACATTTTTAAAAATTGAATCAATTGACATAAAACATCTCAAAAGTTATTCTTACGGAATTCTGGAAACACATACATTCTCCTCAAAACACTCTCCTCCTTAAAATGCCATCTATGAAATTTGAGCTTCTGTTTATAAGTACTGATAGATGCAATACAGGAAAATAAAGTTGCATGAGGCACTCGCATGTGGCAAGATTTAACTCAGGAAATCATAACTGAATTCCCCAACAAAGATTTACAAAGATAAATGTCTTTCATTGTTTTCAAGAAGCATTACAGTATCACCGCATGCACTGATAAGTCTTACAAAAAGTGAACAAATTATTTGTAAATATGGATTCCTATTTCTCTCTTTCTGCATGCATGCTGTAATTACAGGCAACTTTTGTTCTTCAGAATAACTGTACAGAAAAGGATTTGCACATGCCACTTTTTAAGTTTCCGATCAATTCATTTGCAAGTAAACTTAGGCTGAGTATGCTAAGAAAATGACTCCATAAAAACATGTTGAAATACATGAACACTGAAATATTATTTTTTTCTATTTTCAAAAGAATTGAATAATTTTGAAGAAAGAAGGCAAAACTTAGTTTCATTTTTTAACTTTACAACTTATGAAATGAAAACATGAAAAAGTTATGTATGAACCTTTACATGAAAACATATAAAATACCTATATTGGCATCTCGAGAAATAGTTTACATTCACTGAACAAAATGGGGAAGGGTCTTTTCTATTGATAATTATGATTCTACTTAGCAGATATAGATTCTAAATATCAAATGTCTACAGATAATGTGTGCACTGTATGTAACGTAATATATGTACATGCAATCACAACCTTTACAATACAGCAATGCTTCCAGTTACTAGTCATATGGCTTTATTTTTCAGGTAACAAGAACAACTACACCAAACTCTTACTCCGCACATAGTTTTATTCAAGCAATTATTCTTTATATTATAATAATTTATAAGACTTTCAAGGCAAGTGTTTTGTAAAACACTGTCAGCCTATAATTACAATAAACCTCAATCAATGTATCAGTATGGAAAGAAGGGCACATTTACCCAAAAAAGGCAGATTTTTTTTAAAAGGCATAAAAAGTAAATCAATATATAATACTTCATTTCAAAATTATGGGTTATTTATTAGAACTGTTGGGCAGCATGAAATTAATATATTACCTCATCTGCTGTGAAACTCCACCCGTTCATAGTTAGTGGAATGCGTACAATCTGATTCTGAACAACCTATATATTCTTGTATAAGCCAAAAGAACGACACTGGGGCACCAATCACCTCCTTTGTAACCAAATTTTGCAGAAACCAGCAAGACTTATTTCTAAGCAAATGTTTTCAGTATACTTGTAGAAGATTTCTTACCTAACAAATTTTGGAGAGAGCCAAATACCTAGTGAGAACAAAAGCCTAACAATACACTTAATTTTAGAATACCTGTGTCCATGACACTATATTATGTGCAAATTCAGGGATGCTCACTATAACATTTTTCTAGTATCTTACAACACTTCTTCCACTTGTTTTGCACCAGTGAAGTTCACATTTACTTGCTGAAAAGATTGCTAAGTTAATCACACTTTGATGCCAAACAAAATATAAACAATAAAAATGTGTCAGCCAAAAAGCTGCAGGACTGTATCCAATCACTGAATAAGCCTTATCTTTGTTTAAATCTTCATTCATAATTCTGTGAATGCCTCAGTCTTTCTGAATCACAATGGTTTCTTATTACCAAATGAAATCTTAATTATTTGGGCCATATCACAATATCCACTAGAAAACTAAATAACTGAAAACTCTACTTCTTTCTTCATTAGTCACAGCAATGTAAATCAAGACGGCACTTCTATATACACTCTCTTAGGGGTAAATCTTGTTTAACATAACAGGACATAGTTCTGAGTAGCATATGTGGAGTGTGCAATTCTAGTTGCATCCTAAGACTTTTACCAGGGCTGTTCAGAGCTGACCATAGCTTTGTGGAATATGCTCTGTCAAATTAATGAATGACAAATAATGCTAGTGTTACAGGCCATTATCACAAACATTTCTTGTGATACTTTCTACAACTTGCATCTGAATCTGCATTTATTTACTTAGACTAAAATTCTTATACTGCCATTCACCCCAAAAAGGTTCATCACAAAATTAAAACCACAGATATCTTAACTGCCTGAAAAGCATCTTATTACAATTTATTCAAATATTCCTCACAATATATATACACACACACTCCACCAAACAATTTTTAAATCCAGAACAATGTGAATACTTGCAGACCTAAACACTAAAAGGTTTAACCGTGCTTTTTACCTTGGGTATTAAGTTTTAAAAGTTGCAAGGACTAGAACTGACCAATTTTTTTTTTTGAAAATTAAAAATTTAAAAAACCTTCAAGTTCATCACCTTTTCTTAAGCCAGCATATATACGATTAATTCAGTATGGACCGGTATATTACCGCAGTCATTCCTTAATTAAAAATAAAGGAACACGTTCGCTTTTGAGCTTTTCCAAGCAGACACCAGCTCAAAGGCGGGCAGGACGATTTCTGGAAAGTTCAACGTGCTTCCTACCTACTTTTCACTTAGAGCCAGTTTTAATTTTGGGTCTCTGAACTTTTCCCTGCGGTCGCTATTTAACTATTTTGACTATCATTGGCATCTTTAAAGCAGTATGTTCTTCCTTCCGCAGCCCCCCCTCCGGACGCATATCCCTCCAAATAGTAAAATTTATACAGCATATACATTCAAGTTTCCCAGATGAAGACCGAAAACGAATAACTTTGAACGGTTTTAACTATTCTTACCCATTCCCAACCCGAACCCAAGTTGACTGTTCGTTTGTTTGAAGAAAAGGCTATACCTGAGTGAGACAGATGGGAGAATACATCATGACTTCGCTCTGAGAATGCACTTCTGCGGAGAGAAAAGTATCAAAAGGGCAACGGCTTCATCTATTCATTTTACAGTCATCTGTGGCTAAAGGAAAGATGGATCGAATCAAAAACGAGCTCTGCCTTGGATCGCCACAACTTTGCAAGAAACCCCAGTCCTCCTTAAATAGCCAAAGATTCAAGTTCACTCCGAGCGCTAGATTTCCCGGGGTGAAATCCAATCTACACTTTTAACCCTCTTGTTCTCGGCGACTCAGTCTCGCTGCGGCTGCAGTTGCTGTGGGTGGATTGGGGCGGGAGGAGGCAGAATGAAAGGGCGGGGGGGGGGTTGAACGGAATGCAGGGAGTTAAGGGGGGGCACAGGACTTTTTCCTCCCTCGCGCTGCCTCCCCCCCCCGTTCCGGATTTGCAATTGCTTGGTAGAAGCTGCTATACACCACGGTACTGTCAACCACGTTGCCAAAGTTCAAGGTTGCAGCGGCGGAGCTGATCGGGAAAATCTTGGCGTATGATGGCAGCCGAAACTTTGCAAGGAAGAGCCCTGTGCACTGGGAGCGCCAGCGAGGGAATGTGCGCGCGCGCGTCCCCCAAGGCTGCAAAACACTTCGCAGCAGCAGCAGCAGCAGCAGCAGCAGCGCGCAACCGCCGGGCTCCTCTCGCAGCAGCCTGTGCCTCTCGCTCCACTCCCTACCCTCCACCCCCTTTCTCTGTGGATAATGTTCAGAGCCTGCTTTCCAAACGCCCACTGTAATAAAAATGATCTCTTGAAAATTCAAAACGATCAATCTCTTTTCCCCTCCTCCCTCAGTCCCTTCCCCCCCCCATGTACTCCCGAAACTTGGAAGTTCAGCCGGGGAAGGGCGATTTATGTTGTCGACCGCATTTCTGTGGTTCCCCCCCCCCTTCAAGCTGTTCCCCCGAAAAGCAACTTCAAGATTTCAATTTATTATTTAATTACACAATCGACGCGTACACTCCTCCCCCAGTGCTGCTGCTGCTGCTGCAGCAGCAAACACATTCCTTTCCGCAGCACAGCCCCCTCCTCGCCTCTCCATGCCCTCCCTCGTTATTAATCTTTCTCTCGTACTGTGCAATGGAGCTCCGCTGCACATTTTGCAAACATGCCTGTTTTCTTGCGCGCGCACATCCACCGCGCACTCCTTATTAAGGGGGCTGGGCTGGGCCAAGATTTCACCGCATTTTTCTCCTTCGGAGGCGCGGGAATTATAACCAAGTTTTCAAAAACTAGAGAAAAAGGGCCCGGTCGAGCATTCCCCCATAGAAGCCCAGAGGGGGGAAGGGCAAGGAATGAGAAGTAAGAACGCCACCCCAAACTGGGCGCTCTCTGCACCCCAAATCTCGCAAATAAGAGGGACTACAAAGGAGGAAACTTTGCCAGTTGCCTGCTAATTAGTCCAAGCAGTCCCAAAAATAAATATAAAAAAAATAAGATTTGGGAGGAAACGTGCGGGTGGGGTTTATCTCGGGCCAGGCAGCGACTTCATTCCCCACTCCCCCGCTGCAAGGTCACTGCATTGTGTGGCTAATGCTAGCTAAGAACGAAAACGTGGGGGGGGGGAGCGAGAGAGAGAGAGACTCTTATTTGCGTCTCTTCCTGTTTTCGTCCCCTCGCCAGCTTGCTAGTGGGCCCAGCGTGTTCTCGCAGGACTCCATCGGGGAGCGCTGCAGGAGCCCCTTCCACGTGCCCCCCTCCCCGCCGGGCAGAAGCAGCTTCGTTCCCGCGCGTGTTGGGTTTTCAGACAGGCGCGCTCTCCCTTTCCCGGGCGGGCTTTTCCTTTTCTCTCGTCAGCTCCAGGAGAAATTGGGTGGCAGCTTCCCCCCCTCCTCCTCCCCGCGGGAGGTGAAAAACAAAAAGCCCGCGGTATCAACGCACTCGTGTGCTTTCAATCTCACCAACCCGCTCGTGCCGCGAAGGAGAGCGCGCGCGGGGTTTTGGGTGGTTGATTTTCTTTGCTTTAAGGAACTGAGCGAACTAAAAACACACACATGCCTGCACACCGGCGGCGTTCTTACACGGTCACTTTAGGGCATATTTCTTCGCCGTCCCTTCGACACCCGTGTATGTGCGCGCGCGCGGACGCTGTGTAGACCTGCCAAGTGAACGTAACACTGCACTCCTTTAATGAAGTGGACTCTAGTCCAAGAAAACTTACCACGTAATACTGTACTCTTTAAGGTGCCCCAAGACTGGTGCTTGGACGGGCAATAGGGACGTTGCTCCCTGATGGTCCTCCCTCACCTTTGAAAGCACGAAAAAGCATTTTGCAAAAAGACAGTAGAAGCTTCGAGATGGAAAAGGCAAGTCCAAGTGAAGCTGCCAACTTTGTTTTCAAACTAATTGTACCAGAACATTACTGCTGAATAAGATAATACCCCTCCTTTAACCTCCCCCCCCTCCTCAGAGCGATACCAACACTCCACACGGCCTCAAGTCCTCCAGACTTGTGACCTCGTGAACCCGGGCAAGCTAAACAGAGGCCCCTGCGCGCTTCAGCCGGGGCCGCGGCTGCCTTCCTCAGGTAAAACTGCCTCCTGGGCGTCCCGCCCCCCCCTTTTAAGCCCCCTGTCCCTCTATGTAAACTGTCCTGGAAGAACCAGTGACTTTTCCTTTTGCAAAGTGGGATTTATTTACGTCAGGCATTTCACAACGACACATAAAAAGAAGCAGGCAGGTTCAAGTCAACCATGAAATGGTCACTTTTTAACCCCGTCCTGTCCTCATTAGGGAAATACTCAAACACGGCCCGTTCTCAAAGGGGGTTCTTAATGAGAGGAGCTTGCCAAGTCGACCAGCTGCAATTCCCATAAATTTACAAGCCGGAGGGAGGGGGAGGAAGCGAGAGGGCTCATACAAAGCAGGTAATGTCAAAGCAAATTGCTGGGTCCCCTGTATTAACCCTTCGAAGGCAACCCAATTCAAATATAAGTCGGTGTATTGCCAAGCTGTGCCAAACTGTTTGAGACAAAAACACATTCTCCAACCTTTAAAGAGTAAAGTATCAGAAGAATGTCTTCTTTCTTTTTTTTTTAGAAGAGAAGTTTAAGACACACGAAAGCAAGATGTGGTAAATTACAGGACTTATCACACACATTTTTTACAGTATGTAGAGCACCTTCTGTGACTGCAGTCCATCAACACAAAGGAACTGAACTCAGTTGGACGCCCTTCTAAGTAGGACTGCACTGTAAATACAGGTTATACCATGAGGGTAGGGACATACAGCCCCAGTTTTGGAATGTTCCAGTGATTAAGTATCTGTACTATCTTACATTGTTGCAATAAAAGACATTTCATCTCTTCAGGTGTTAGACTGTTGCATAAGGCATTATTTCCTTTCCTTCCACATTTATATAACCTCTCCCCTATCAAGAGTAAAAATGTTGCCTATGTGAATTGCTCAGATTTTAAGCTAGCTCCTCGTCTATCTGACAAAATTGTCACAGCCCCTGCTTCTATCATGCCTCTTTTCACCACTTACACCAGCAATCAAGTGCAATATACTTATCAGCAATAAAACCAGAAAAAAGAAAAGGAGCATTGAAGTCAGTTTTACCTGAGGTCACTTTAAAAAAAGTATTACACAAGGCAACTGCTGCTTTCTAAAAATCACGCAAAGCAGCTAAAATTATCTGCACTGAATCTATTGTAATATAAGCAAAGCTTGGAAATTTCACTTTGTTGGATTATAAAATGCCCAGACAGGGGACTCTGGGTTTCATAATAATAATTTTAAAAAGAATAATTTCCAAGCTCTGGTCACAAAAGAAGCTCACAGACATACTGGAGAAAGAGTGGTTATAGAAGTCCTGGTTAAAAATATGCCCATATCTTTTTTGTTTGTTTGTTTGTTTTTAGGATGAGGGGTTCTTCCTTTTTCCTAAAACAAGCTATTATCTCTGTCATTACCTCCCTCCTATATTTGCTAAGACCACGGTAAATTAATATTATTGAGACAATGCATTTTAAGAGCTTTGAACATTCCGAAGTGTTGCATAAAAGCTCGATGCTAGACCCTCTCTTGTATGAATGGGGTCACTACATGACCCCAGACCACATGACATACTACTGACCCTACCTGGTCAGCCTCAAGGTCATATGGTTTCCAGTGCCCCCAATATTAACATATTAGGTGTTTATATCTGCAGATATTAAATTTACATACATAGATATCTCTGTAAGGAGCTGGATCACCCTTCCCCTCTGTATGTGTAGGTTTGACTTTCACCTATGCAGAAATCCAGACTAAATGCATGAATACTTAAAGGTGGTATAGGTCACATGACTGTGGAGGCAGGGCCTGCAGCTTCAGCACTTGGTATTTAACACATGGATATCCTTAAAGTACAAGTAAAGGAGTTTTGTGGCACTTTATTTTATTTTACATTGTTCCTTTAGTGTGAAATAACAGTACCACAGGAGGGAACTTATACTCTTAGTCCATCTAGCCTGCTGTTGTCAACCTTGAATGGTAGCAGCTCGTCAGGGTTTCTGGCAGGATTCTTTACAGCACTAACAGGTTCCTGGAATATCCTGAGTATCTCCCATCCAAGTACTAACCATGATCAATATTGCTTAGCTTCCAAAATCAAAGGAGTGCACATTTTTTAGGTTAGCATGCTGTTGTTTTTTAAAATCTTCCATTGTCCTCCATGCACACCACCACAATGCATGAACACCCTGTATTTCAAACTCTGCTTCAGAATATAACTTATCTTGTAATACTTCACTGCACGTAGAAGCTTTTGTTTAATAATAATGAATACATTTTAAATGTATCTAACCTTTAAAAAGAGATCATACTGTAAGGTAGAATTATGTCTGAAATATTAATACCAAATTTAATTGTACTAGATCAATTCTGAAGGGTCATCTCAAATTGTTAACAAGCAGAATGTATTATGCATAGAAGTTAAACTAAAATCAAACTTTATTTTTCCAATAACTGCTCCAATTGATTTGGATCAGCTGCATTCAGTGCAGTGGCTATATGCAAATGTGACCCTCTCCTGGAACTGGAGCACTGAGCAGGATCCATTGGTAGAATTTAATTTGCAGAACATCAGATTCCAATGGAATCAGGAAGGAGCAATTCCTACTCTTCAGTTCAGCCCTTGTGCATCTCCAAAACCATCTTGGGGTGATCAGCAACTTATCTCAAGCTGGTATTTATGTGGCAGAAAGGCTTCAAGGAGGCAGAAAGATGAAGTTCCACTGACAGAAGGCTGCACTCAGCTCATTGTGGATAAGGGAATACAGTAATGCTGAAAATGGCAACTTAGTCTGCAGCATACACAGGAATGCTGGGTGAGTGTTATACAACACAATGATTCTGCATGCCCCTACTTCACATCCCTAATGGTCAATAGGAGAAAACAGAAAGTGGCATAACAAGTGGGGTACTGTAAGGCTCAGTTCTGGGCCTGGTGTTCTTCAATATTTTTATTAATGTCCTGGATGAGGGGGTGCAAAATAGTTATCATTCTTACAGATGACACAAAATTGGATGGAATAGCCTTGGAAGAGAGGAACAAAATTCAAAAAGATCTTGATAAGCTTGAGCACTGAACTGAAAACAACAGAATGAAATTTGACAGGGATAAATGCAAAGGCTTTCACCCGGGGGGGGGGAGGGAGAAAAATCAAATGCACAGTTGCAAGATGGGGGATGCTTGGCTCAGTAATACTACAAGTTAAAAAGATCTTGGAATTGTTATAGATCAGCGGTTCTTAGCCTTTTTTTAACCATCAACCCCCTTCAAATATATTTTGTTGCCACAGACCA